TTTTTTTTTTTTTTTTTTGTTAATCTGGACCAATCGATGACGAATCCTCCATTATTCATTTGTTTTCTAAAAATTCGTTTGACGTTTTCGTATGATTGATGAATGCATTTTATCTCTTCGATTCCTGTTGGAATATGGATGGATCTGTGCTTATTATTATACTATTGAGCACTTTTTTTTTTAATCTGGACTAATCGGTGACGAATCCTCCATTATTCATTTGTTTTCTAAATATTCGGTTAACGTTTTCGTATGATTGATGAATGCATTTTATCTCTTCTATTCCTGTTAGAATATGGATGGATCTGTGCTTATTATTCTACTATTTCTTCCTCTTGTACACACCTTTTCGAGGAAAGAGATCGTTTACGTTTTACTTAAGAAAGCGCGATCATAGTTGACTGCCTTCTCAGTTTCAAGTAGGAGTTCGACCTATATGTTAATTGCAGTATTAGAAATTTGGCTAGTTCGTCAACTACGGAGGTGTGAGTGCTTGAGTTGAGGCTCAAGTACAGTGAACTGCTCTAAACTCTTCCTAGTCTTCCTCTTGACTTTTTATTGAGAAATCTGGATTCAATGTGCAATGTAGGTGAAAATGCTCATTTTCCATTTCAAATGAAAACTTCTGCAACACAGGTTGACTAGATTAAATCGCATATGATGCTTACTTCATATCCTGTCCTATTTAGTACTCGCGAGTGTTTTATCAAATCCTTATCCCTTTGCCAAAGCTTGGAGTTGGCTAAGCCATCTGGCTATACGGTGAAGATTTCAATGTTTTGTCGCATCATTTTTGTGTTGCTTACGGTTGTTGAAAATAAAAGTTTATGTATGTATATATATGTATGTGTGTGTCTATATATATATATATATATATATATATATATTCCTTTCTTTGTTGTTGGAAATGGATGCATTATTCATCCTGTAATAAGTTTAACCTACTGAACGGTCTACAATATTTGCTTCGTGACTTGTACACAAATATACAACTACTCCTAAGCTTTCTATTCTCCGAATTCCCATGCTTTTCCTTGTATCCCAAGGAAAATACTCTGACCTACGTTTCTGTAACTATAGTTGAGTCATTTCTCTGCATGTGTGTGAAAATTTCTAGGATTTGACTGTCCAGAAACCGTTTCCTTAAAAACTGGACTGATCGCTAAATTTTAGTCTGTCATATTAAGTTTTCTCTATGGCTGTGTTGGCAAAGTCTGATCTCTATTTAAAAATATAGCATTCGTTTGGCTGATGATACTATTTATAGTTTCTATTCTTGTTGAGCGATGTAGTGAGATTGTGTTTAACAATATGAACATAGGTCAGAGTATGATATAATAGTGAAATTGGTTGTCGATATCTCGAGTATAAGTTGATGAAAGCTCTTGTAGGAATAGTTTTAATGAATGACTGCATTTGAGATCCTTTTCGTCAAATAGACTTGAAATGCTTAGTACTTCTAATGGGGACAAGCTACTTATTTATGACCATTGCACAAAAAGATGATCAGGCCACTATCATCTGGGGTTGGAGAAAATGCTAGTTCTTTTCAATCAAAATTTCGGTAGGAAGGGAGAAAAAGGTGTAGTGGCTATGTGCAGAGGAGTATGAAGAACTAGAGAGTGGTGCGTTACTGTGCTTCACATTTTTATTTTAACCTACAAGGCCTTGCCAGATTTTGTCTTTTTCAAAAAAAAAAAAAACAATAATCGTCTTTTTATTGGTATTAAGAAATAGAAGCGCAGAGATTTAGAGGCATCAAAATCATTTCACATTTTAATCTCAAACTTACGAGGCCTTGATAGTTTTTTTTTTTTTTTTTTTTGGGGGGGGGGGGGGTTT